GCCACGTTCGACGGGTCGGGCGACCCGCGAGAACACCTACTGAGCTACCAAGCTAAGATGCAAGTTTTAGGGGTACGGGACCGGTCATGTGCCGCGCCTTCTTACCCACGCTAAAGGGCCGCGCAGAGGTGGCTCGTGGCGCAACCCCCAGGGACGATTCACAGTTTCGAGGAGCTGGCAGATCGCTTCATGAGCCACTACGCGCCAACATCAAGCCACAGAAGGACCTGACGCACTTAGGCGACATCCACCAGGACGAGGGCGAGTCCTTAAAAACCTATTTAGCCCGCTGGCAAAAGGAGATCCAGTCGAGAGGAAGTGGAGGACCAAACGGCACTCACTTTCTTCATCGAGTCTTTGCGGTCCGGCCAGCTGTACCGACCTAAGGGACAATCGCCCGGCAACGTACGCGGAAGCTATCCAGATGGCCAACAAGAGAGCCAACACGGAGCAGGCCATGAAGCATAAACGACAACGCGAGGTCGGCGGGTCCGCCAGCGGGAAAAGGACGCGGGCCGAGACGAAGGAAAAGGCGTTCGGATGTGGCCCGGCGACCCAAAGTTAGGCGACCGTACGACCGCCCCGTCGTCCACGCCTATCGACCGGTTCCGGCGGCCGGTCCACGAAATACAAGCAGTCGCCCCACCTCCGCCTCCACCGATCGACGACCGCGTAACAAGTGAGGACTGGTAAGGCTTCTAAGTACTGCGTTATCATAAATCTTATACTCACAGCACGGAAGAATGCTTCTATCTAAAGAAGATCATGGAGGGGATTATCCAGCAAGGGACCCCGCCCCCTAATCAATGGAGGCGAAGGTCGGCCAGTCGAGGAGATGAGGGACTTGCCGCCGACGCAGAGAACAGCCGAGGTAAGCAGCCGGCTTCCGAAGAGGACGAAGCCCAATGGCGCCAGAAGCCGGTTATCAACATGATAGTCGGCGGACCAGAGGGCGGCGACTCGGCAAACACCCGAAAAGCCTGGGCTCGGCAATTGTATGTCGGGACGGTTTACGGTCGCGAAGAGAGCTCCAAAAAGGTATGCCGAGAACCCATCGTGTTCACCGATAGGGACCTGCCAGCCGGAGAGACCCCGCATCGAGATGCGTTGGTCATTGCTATGGACATCAATGGTGTAGTCGTTCGCCGAATCCTGGTTGACACCGGGAGTAGCGTCAATGTGCTATACCTGGAAACCTTCATCAAAATGGGGCTAACCAAGAGCAGCTGAATCCTGTCAAAACCCCTCTCGCCGGCTCACCGGGACTCGGTGGAGGCAGAAGGGTCGATCACCCTTCCCGTGGAGATTGGTAGTTACCCGGATGTACAGAAGTTAAGCATGAAGTTTATCGTGGTAAATCTGGCCTGCTCACATAACGCCATACTCGGCCGTCCGGTTTGGAGGACCTCGGAGCCCTAATCTCGATCGAACACCTGTGCTTGAAGTTTCGCACGCCGAACGGAATAGGAACGGTACGTTGCAATCGCCAAGGCCGCCCGCGACTGTTATTTACAAAGCATGTAGAGGATGGGCAAACGTGAGATGCAGGTCCACGAGATTACCGAGAGGCCCCTAGGAAAACGGTGATACCTCGCCCCGAGCCGGCCGTCGAGCTAGAGGAAGTCGAGATTGACCCCGCACAGCCTAGTAGGCGGGTGAGAATTGGGGTCGGCCTTCCTGAGAAACTAAAGGGGGAAATCGTGAGAGTGCTCCAGGAACATCGATTGGTTTTCGCCTGGGGCCCGGAGGATATGCCCGACGTCGATCGGTCGGTTATATCACACCGACTCGCCGTGGATCCAGAGCACCGACCAGTCGTACAGAAGAAACGATACCTGACCAACGACCGAGGGAATTTGTGAAGAAGGAAGTTAGCACGCTGCTAGCGCGGCCGGGCACGTCCGCGAGGTTAAGTACCCGGACGTGGTTGGCAAATGTGGTCCTCGTACCCAAGCCCCCGGCGTGGCGAATGTGCGTGGATTACACCGATCTTAATAAGGCTTGCTCGAAAGACCCGTTTCCCCTACTCGGATCGACCAGTTAGTCGACGAGACGGCCGGGTCGGCACTACTGAGTTTCCATGGACGCCTTCAGAGGGTATCACCAAATATTTATGCACCCGGCGGATGAGGAGAAGACCGCCTTCCTGACACAGGACGGAGTTTATTGTTACCGAGTCATGCCCTTCGGACTTAAAAATGCCAGGGTTACGTACACCCCGAATGGTCGCCCGGCTGTTCCAACACCTGCTTGGGGAAATCGATGGCCGCGTACGTCGACGATATGCTCGTCAAGAGCCGGGAGGAGGACAAGCATGCGGAGGACTTGGCCGACTGCTTCAAGGTAATGATAAAGTACAACATTCGGCTGAACCCCAAAAAGTGTGCGTTCGCCGTCCAAGGTGGAAAATTCTTGGGCTACATGGTCACCAAACGAGGCATTGAGCCTAATCCGGAGAAAGTACAGGCCATCATCGACATGCAGCCTCCTACCACCGTCAAGGACCTACAACGATTGACTGGTCGGTTGGCCGCCCTTAGCCGCTTCCTGGAGCAAAGCGGCAGATAAGACCGTGCCTTTCTTCGAAGCCATGAAGAAGAAGGAGGATTCGCTTGGACTGCCGAATGCCAACAATCGTTCGAGGAGTTGAAACAGTACCTTTCAACGCCCCCAGTGCTGTCTACCCCCCAGGTGGGCGAGCCCTTATTCCTGTATCTCGCCGCCTCGGCCAAAGCCAGTGAGTTCGGTATTGGTCCGAGAGGAGGACCGAGTCCAGCACCCGGTTTATTACGTAAGTCGCTCGCTGAAGGCCGCTGAGACGCGGTACACCGCTCTGGAAAAGATTGTGTATGCATTGGTAGTCACCGTGCGCAAGCTGGCGCCTTATTTCCAAGCCCATACCGTCCGAGTCCTGACAGACCAGCCGCTCGGGAGTGTGCTAAGAAACCCCTTGTCCTCCGGCCGACTTGTAAAATGGGCCGTAGAGTTGACTCAGTATGGGATTGAATACCAACCCCGGCCTTCCATTAAAGGTCAAGCCTTGGCCGACTTCCTGGTCGAATGTACAGCAAGTAAGGAAGAAAAGGAACGCGCCCCGGAGAGCTGCCCGGGCGAGTGGTGGGAAATGCACGCGGATGGAGCATCGAGTCGACAGCACTGTGGAGGCAGTGTCATGCTCATCACTCCGGAAGGATTCCGGCTATATTACGCTCTGAGATACTTGTTCTCGACATCAAATAACGAGGCCGAGTATGAAGCAGTATTAAACGACCTCCGACTCGCCAAGGCCCTGGGAGTCGAGCGGCTGCGAATCAAGACTGACTCCAAACTGGTAGTCGGACAGATCTCGGGTACGTGTGAGACTAAGAATGCAAGGATGGTATTATACAAAGAGCGCGCAGTTGAAATGTTAAAAGAGTTCGGGGCTTACGAGATAGAGTACATCTCCCGAGCGGACAACGTGGAAGCCGACATATTGTCCAAAATTGCCCTGGAAGGGGTACCGGACCACCTGATAAGAATTTGCCGGAAGGAGGAGTTAAATCGGCCGAGTGTTGAAGAGACACCACTGGAAGTCCAGCAAGTAAATATCGAGGAATGGGATCGGGAGAAAAACCCTGAGATGTTTTGGATGGAAGACATCCGGCGATTCAAGGAGACGGGCGAGTTACCAAGTGACCAAGGAATCGCCGCTAAAGTTCGGCGAAAAGCCCCTTCCTTCCAGATCATCGACGGGCAGCTATATAAACAGTCGTTCGGAGGACCCTTACTAAAGTGCCTGCTTAGACCTGAGGCCGAGAAAATAATGGACGAAGCTCATAGAGGCATTTGTGCCGCGCACCAGGGCGCCCACACGCTCGCCCGGAAGTTAGTCGTTCAAGGGTATTATTGGCCGACCATGATGCGAGACTGTATCGAATGGATGTCCAAGTGCGGCATTTGCCAAGCATTCGCCAGGAAAGACACCCGGCCGGCCACCTTTTATACACCGGTCACCACTGCCATCCCCTTCGCCAAGTGGGGAATAGACTTGTTGGGACCATTGCCCGTCGCCCCGGGAGGTCTGAAGTTTTGCGTCGTGGCTATCGACTACTTCACCAAATGGGTCGAGGCAGAACCATTGGCTACCATCACCGAGTACCAATGTCGACGTTTTCTGTGGAAAAGGGTGATCTGTCGCTTCGGCCTGCCCGAGCATATCGTCAGTGACAACGGGCGACAGTTTGACTGCCAGGCCTTCGCTGACTTCTGCCGCCGACACGATATCAAGCATACCAAGGTATCGGTGGCGTACCCACAAGCCAATGGGCAGGTCGAGAATGTGAATCGAACGTTGGTCGACGGGATCCGGAAGAAGCTCGAAGACGTCCGAGGAAATTGGCGGACGAGCTTGACCGAGTCCTATGGGCTTATCGCACTACCCAGCGGCGAGCGACGGGGGAGAGCCCGTTCTCGCTCGCATACGGCTTCGAGGCCAAGGTTCCAGTCGAAGTGGTCGAGCCCACCCACCGGGTTCGCACCTATTCGGATGCAGCGAACGAAGAGAGTCTGCGGATCGAGAAAAATTTCCTAGAGGAAAGGAGGGAAGCCGCGAGTGCACGGATGGTTGAGTACCAGCAGGCGGTGAAAAGATATCGCGACCGAAGGACTCGCCCGCGAACCTTCCAGGTTGGCGACCTCGTGTTACGCGATCGACAAGCCAGTCAGCCCACCGAAGGAGGCAAGTTTGCGGTTAAGTGGGAGGGGCCATACCGTATTGCAGCGTTGGTCCAAGCCGGAACCTACAAGTTAGAGACTGTGGAAGGCAAACCCATAGATTGCATATGGAATGTCACTCATTTGAAAAGGTTCTATCAGTAGAAAAGGATAGGCCGTGTACGGGCTCGAGGATTCCAAAAATCTAAATAAAGCACATGGGTTACAGCTAATCGTCCCAGGGACTCGGCGAGTATATATAGAAACAATGGGGCACTGACCCTAAACCGTTTCTGAGAAAGTAAAAGCCTAAAGAGTCGCCTCGACTGAGGGACTCGGCGAGAAAGAGTTAGGAAACAAGGGCCCAGACCCTTAGTCGTTTTCGAGAAAAAGCCAGAAGGAGTCGCCTCGACTGAGGGACTCGGCGAGTATATATAGAAACAACGGGGCACTGACCCTAAACCGTTTCTGAGAAAGTAAAAGCCTAAAGAGTCGCCTCGACTGAGGGACTCGGCGAGAAAGAGTTAGGAAACAAGGACCCAGACCCTTAGTCGTTTCCGAGAAAAAGCCAGAAGGAGTCGCCTCGACTGAGAGACTCGGCGAGTATATATAGAAACAACGGGGCACTGACCCTAAACCATTTCTGAGAAAGTAAAAGCCTAAAGAGTCGCCTCGACTGAGGGGCTCGGCGAGAAAGAGTTAGGAAACAAGGGCCCAGACCCTTAGTCGTTTCCGAGAAAAAGCCAGAAGGAGTCGCCTCGACTGAGGGACTTGGCGAGTATATATAGAAACAACGGGGCACTGACCCTAAACCATTTCTGAGAAAGTAAAAGCCTAAAGAGTCGCCTCGACTGAGGGACTCGGCGAGAAAGAGTTAGGAAACAAGGGCCCAGACCCTTAGTCGTTTCCGAGAAAAAGCCAGAAGGAGTCGCCTCGACTGAGGGACTCGGCGAGTATATATAGAAACAACGGGGCACTGACCCTAAACCGTTTCTGAGAAAGTAAAAGCCTAAAGAGTCGCCTCGACTGAGGGACTCGGCGAGAAAGAGTTAGGAAACAAGGGCCCAGACCCTTAGTCGTTTCCGAGAAAAAGCCAGAAGGAGTCGCCTCGACTGAGGGACTCGGCGAGTATATATAGAAACAATGGGGCACTGACCCTAAACCGTTTCTGAGAAAGTAAAAGCCTAAAGAGTCGCCTCGACTGAGGGGCTCGGCGAGAAAGAGTTAGGAAACAAGGGCCCAGACCCTTAGTCGTTTCCGAGAGAAAGCCAGAAGGAGTCGCCTCGACTGAGGGACTCGGCGAGTACATATAGAAACAACGGGGCACTGACCCTAAACCGTTTCTGAGAAAGTAAAAGCCTAAAGAGTCGCCTCGACTGAGGGACTCGGCGAGAAAGAGTTAGGAAGCAAGGGCCTAGACCCTTAGTCGTTTCCGAGAGAAAGCTAGAAGGAGTCGCCTCGACTGAGGGACTCGGCGAGTACATATAGAAACAACGGGGCACTGACCCTAAACCGTTTCTGAGAAAGTAAAAGCCTAAAGAGTCGCCTCGATTAAGGGACTCGACAAGGGAAAATTAGAAGGTAAGGGAGAAGGGCTCGAAGCCTTAGAGATTTGTCAGTATTAAAAGAATTCGAAAACGAAGTGCGAAAGAAGGGAGAGTTTCTTTTTTTTTTTTTCATTAAAATTAAGGCCGAAAAGGAGGCCAGCCTTTACAAAAAAAAAAAAAAAAATGGGAGGCTATCTTAAAAGGCCCTAAGCTACTGGGGATGGGGTGTCGACGTCGACCCCTTCAACTTGCGCCCCTGCCGTTGGTCCAGCTAGGGGAACAGAAGAAGGGTCCTCCGCCTGAGGAGAGGACTCGATAAGCTCTAGGAGCGTCGCCGCGGGAAGAGTCGACGGATCGGCAGGCGCTGCCGGCCCTTCAGCATCCAACACCGGCTTGAGGCCCCAGCCCTCGGGAGTGAACGAGGAGTCGCGAGCCAGCAATGTGGCGTGGATCTCTGTCTGCGCCTCGCGGAAACCAAGGCGGTAATCGCGTTCGCCCAGATCCAGAAGGAACTCGTCGCCTTCTGGGGTCGCCAGCCACTCCTTGGCCACCTCTTTCTTCCGGGCCTCCACCGCCGCTCCCACATCCGCCTCAAAGGCCGCCGACTTCTTGTAATCTTCGACGGAGGTCGCGGCGATCGTTGCCACCTTATCCCTTTCCTCCTCCCATTGACGAGTGACCCTCAGCAGCTCGGAGTTGTGCACCTCCACCATCTTGAGGTGCTTCGCCTGCTCTTCTAGGAAAGCCTCCTCTGTTTGGCGCAGTTTGAGAACCGTGGACCGCATCTCGGTCATAAAGTTCTGGAGCCGCTTGCCCATCTCCATCTGAAAGGTGAGGTTCTGCGCAGTTGTCACGAGTCAGACAAGGAAAAGAAAGAGCGGAAAATAGGAGCCGAGTCAGTGACACTTACGCGGTAAGATTGGCGAAGTGAGGCCTCGAGGATATACCCGTCCCCCAAAGCTTGCGTCGCCGCCACGTCATTAGGCAGGAGAACGTCGGCACACCACTTGCGGACCGAGGCGGCGCCCATCCAGATTTGGGCATCGGCATCCACCTCGTGGCACAGCTTGATCTTCTTCGGAGTCGGCCCCTCCGTGTGCTCGGCAGGGCGCTTGGAGCTTGGGCTCTCAGTCGAAAGAGGAGGTGGTTGCCGAGTGGGCGACACCACGGGCGATGGCGTAAGATCGACCACGTTGTGAGAGGGTGGAGGAGTCGGCCGAATCGCCGGCGACGGCTGAGAGGAAGAAGCGGCGGCGGCGGCGGCACCGGTGGAACGCTGCGTCAAGCGACGCCACATTTTTTCAGCCCTGTCCACCATCTCTGGAGTCGGTGCAACGGCCTCGTCGGAGCTGGAGGAGTCAGAATCGTACGGACCTGCAAGAAAACCGCATAGTTGTGAGCGCTTCGGGTTAAAATGACAAATAAAGAAGTAGGAGCGAGTTGAGAACGGGGTAAAAAAAAAAAAAAAAAAAAAAAAAAAAAAAAAAAAAGACGCTACCTATGGTGGCCGCGCCCTCCGGTAGTAGGCCATGCTTGGCCATGGCCCGGACCTGGGACCAATACTTGACCGAGTACGGCCCCAGGCTCTTCAAGAACTCGCCGCCTTGGACAACATCTTCCGTAAAGACGGCGCGCCGAGAGCAAGGCTTGAAGAGAGTCGCCGGCCACAGGGTCGGAAAAGAGAAGGAAGAAGAGCGGGGTCGGACGAAAAAGTAAAGAGGCTTCCACTCTTTGATCGAGTCGGATAACCCATCGAAGAGCTGCCGCCCCGGATGGGCGGCGACTTGAATGAAGTCAGGCGAGTGAGAGCCGACTTTGTTCACGGTAAAGAGGAACCGGAACAAGTCTAGATCCGGCTCGCACTGCCACCAATGGCAGAGGTTAATGAAGCTGGTAAGAAGGCGGTGCGAATTGGGCACTAACTGGCCCGGGACCAGGTTATAGTGCCGGAAAAGAAGTGAAAGAAATGGGTGGGGAGGCACTCGGAAGTCGAATGCGACCGAATGCAGGTGAATGCCCACAAAACCCTCCGGTGGGTTATGGATGGGCCGATCCTCCGCCGCGATAACCATGGCCGAAGGGCCAAGCAAAAAACGGGCCATATCAAGGTCCGCTGCCGTGGCACTCGACGGGAGACCGGACGGTCTGACTATCGAGTCGAATTTGCCTCGCGGCCGTTCGACGCCGTCCGGCAGAGCCGCCACCGTGGTTAGCGAGGCTGGGCTCATCGGAGTGGCCGCCCCAGAAGAAGAAGGGGTTGGAAAAGAAGAAGAAGACACCGCTTGGAAGCCTGCCGGCATTTCCAGACGGCGGACAACAGAAGAAGAAGAAGAGGACGACGGCGAGGTCCCCGCCGGATTGTCAAAAGACTGACGGCGGGTAGAAGAAGAGTAAGAGGAGGAAGACATTACTTACAGATCTGAGTTGAGGCTGGGAAAACGATGAAAGAGCAAAGAAGCTTGGGTGGAAACTTGAAGAAGAAAAGTAGAGGAGATGAGCCATTTAAAGGAAAGGGGAAGCCCGGGAAGCCGCCACGCGTCGCCTCCTCAGTGGAGGAATCGGAGGCGACAAGACATCGAAAGGACGCCGCATTTAATGCCTCGATAGACGGGGCGACGGTTCAGGTCTAGGGCTAGCCTGCAAGCGGCGCGTCTACCCTAGACCGAGGCTGGATAGCTGTGACCCGGCCTGCTAAGCCGTAAGCCCATCAAGGCCGAAGCCATGGGGGCCCACCAAGATCATGCTGGAAGTTTCTAGAAAAGACCCGGCTGGGTCCGGCCAACTGAAGGGCCCGGACAAGCTTCTGGTCGCGAGGTCGGCCGATGGATTCGGCGAGTCCCTCGCCTAAGGGGATCAGTCGGACAAATTCTAAGAGCCGGCCATGATAACGGGGGGTCGGCCAAAAGACAGGCGAAACCAAGAGTCGAACATAAAAACATGATTTTTATTCCATGAAACAGGGAGTAC